TTTCGCACGCTCTCCAAGAAAGGGGGAGATAGTTAAAGACAGAATAATGGATAATATCGCGAAAGATAATTAATAATCAATTTCATATTCCACGGTACGCGCGTAGTCAACATTTTTGCACCACGGGCTATTCGGTCCCTTTCATCCCTCAGCGACTTCCGTTACCTCTTTACAGAACTGTGAAAAAAAAAAATTAATCAATGCAACACTCGCAGTGTCGTACACACCGTATAAATTATTTATCGTATTATAAATGTTATAGATATGACAACCAAAAAATAAAAATAAAAACGGGAACGCGAAAAATATTCTTATAACAAGGATCATTCGGCACAAATTTATCATCACATCGAGGGCTATTTTTTTTTTTTACCGAGCGGGTCGCTCGCCTTAATACTGGACCACTAAATTTTTTTAGGTGCACGTCTGTCCGCGATAATAGTCGTAACGATATTCCCGCGATTCGACGCGTGTATCGTTGCGGATTCAGTTTTCTATGCGTCTAGAGCGTCGGAGGCCATGTAACACCTCATACTACATAATAAGAATAGCCGGAGAAAAAAAATATACACGCAAAAATAAACGTAATTAACCGACTTAGTCTGTTTTCCATAATAGTCAGTTGTCAAATGAGCCGTGGGTAACGGTAAGAAAACATGGCTTTTTTCTTTCGTCGATTCCCTTTGGCGGTTCCTCCTCACCGTCCGACAGCGAATACAAATTAGACAACGGCGGCAGAAGAACCGCATGGCCATGGTTTTATTACGTGGGGAAAAAATCGTAACAAAAGTTATTGGTTAATTAACAACATTATATCGACGTAGAAGTTCGCAATTTATTGCTTAAAACCATCGCGTTACATCTCCATTTGATAGCCAAAAAGGAAAATCAGCATTTTTTTAACAAAATATAGCCAAACATCAACGTCTAGTCCGTTCTTTAAATCGATAAATTTTTTTAGTTTTTCTTTTTTAGTGACTAAAATTATTTTTTCTTATAGTAAACGTACACATACTCATATTTTTTTCCATCGTCATTGACATATACCAAGTAACGTAGCGATTCCACAAATATGTGTAGCACTATTTTGGTCATTCTTTCATCAAATATAATTATTGGATATGTCAAATAGGAATTTTATTAAAAGTCTAGTCATATAGCCAAAGAATTTAATGTTTATGCAATTTCACTATCCACCTAGACATTTAGTTAAATGCCTATTTCATGTCAGGCAAATAATAAAAACATTTTGTATTATTTTAAAAATGTAAATATATTTTCTATCAGTAATTCAGTTATTTGACTATATGCCTACGACAGCTATATTCAGATATATTACGAGTATATGCTTATACAAATCCAATTATATGTAAAGTATTGATTACTATAGTCGAAGAAAAAAACGTATGCTTAAAAATATTTTAATACTAGTTTGTGTTGTACACGAATACGTGACGTGAATACATTTTTATTTTATTTTATTTTTTTTTTTTTTTAATAATAATTTAGCGATCCAGTAAATACATTGGCAGTCGATCATCACTATTGCATTTTGGTGATGTCATACCAATGATAAAATAAGGTCTGGTTCGAAAAATAGATTAAACTAGGTTCAAATACCAAATAACTAAACGGAACCTAACAGATCCAGAAGTATGTGAGGCCCACTAAACGACCCAGACAATGGTCACGTCGAGGAATACCCAACACACTGTTTCCCATTTGGTACAAAAATACTATGCGAATTGGAAGGAGGCACTTTACGATGGCCTACTGAATTGAAAAAAAAAAGTATAATTACTTATAATTATTTAAATTTATACAACTTAATACGATTTACTATTGTGTTGCGCATTGTAAGCTATGTTAGGTGTACTTAATAGTTATTGTAGTCACCTTGATGTGTACATGAAATGATCATTTATGTTTGTTAATTTTTTAATTACTATCTATTGTTACTATTTAGATTAAAACCATACGAATAAATAAATCAATTCCGCCTTCGACAAGAAAAAATTTACACATTTTCCCAAAATTATATTTTGACATAAAAAATTCAGAAAAATACAATTTTTTAACGATGAAACGTTGCATGTGACTACCAAATTAGGAATAGCTGATTTTCGCTCTAATCGTTTTGGCGTAAGTGCCAGCAGTGAAATTTTTTGTCAGTGTAAATGGTGTCTAGACTGTCGTCTATAGCGGAAATAACCGTTGTATGCGACACGACGAAGAGTGACAAAATTAACAAATAACACAAATAGTTATAAACGATATTTATTTGTTAATTTTGTCAAATCGTGAGCGACATTGACGTGAACAGTAAGCAATAATCAGTAAAAAATACGGTTTTAATTGAATTTTTTTAGTTTTAAGCTTGTCGTTTTAGTGTAAGTGTAGTAGTTAAAGTAAATATTTTTATTATTAAATCAAAATATACAAAGTTCAAAATAAAAATCATAATCATTGAATATTAAATTTTTAAAACATTCTTTTGAGTTCTAGAACAATTGTCAAAATAATTGTAAATTTTAGGATAATAATTGTACATTTTTATTTACCAATGATACGACAAAAAGTCTATCATATGAGTGTATCGATCTAGGACAAATCACCTTTGTCGTTTTGCCATAAAATCATTTTGTCGTCACTGTTTCGACGTAAGGCCACTTCGTCGGTAAAAAAATACCTGATAGGATGCATATACATTGAGGTTAATACGGCTAATAGAAATATTTTTAATTTTAACTCTAAACTCGAGTATACCAACTAATAAAAGGGTAAAATATGTCTTTGAAATGTCCTTATTATTATTACAATTGAATATTATAATATTAACAAACGTGTAAAATAATATGTCTAATAAACAAAATAAAATATCTTGTTATTATTAATATTATCGAATATTGGCAAATGTGTATAATAAGTAATAATAATAATAATTACATGATGACCAAAATATATCTTTAAAATCGATTATGATCACGTATTATTAATTATACAACGAGTGGATATTTTTTAACGGCGAAGTGGCGACCTCACGTCGAAATGGCGACGGCAAAATGGTTTTACGGCGATTTGTCCGCGTCTGTTAGTGTCATCACGATACGAAAATGCCTTACCTTTGCCCCACCCGTTGGAATAGAGTTTGGTCATTTCGTTGACGTATTGTAACGAGCAGATGTTGCGTTCGATATTTCAACTTGACGAACTATTTAAAAACTATTCAATAACCATGTTCACTCCACGAACGTTCTTTCCGTTTGTATCGTTGTTCACGCATTGTTCAAGGTTTGCGTAATCGTTTCCGGGCGGCATAACGGCGCGTCAACGGTTGATCAACGGTTGGTCAACGGTGTGATCGCGTCGTCATCGGTCGCATGATAACGCGTTCGTTATTTCATGTTCTCGAGCTTTTTCGGTTAATATGTTTCGCGTGATTGCCAAGTCATGTTCCCAGTGCCGCAAACGTTCGTCAAGTTCTCGTGTGGTCAGTTTTAGTGTGGTGGCACTGAGGAGTTTGGTCGTCACTATGGTGTCCGACGGCCGTTGCTTCCGTGGTACATGTCGTCGTCACCGTCGTTCTTCTCGTCTTGTCCGACCGTGTCCGTTTTCGTTGGTCTACGGCCATTTTGTTCGAAACGACGTTTTCCATTTTCGTGTCGGCTGTTCAGTGTGTGTCGTTCCGCGCGATTTCTTTGCTTTCAGTTTAAAGTTACCGCTTTCCAGGGCAGTCACTTGCCAACAGCCATTGCGAATAACGTTGGTTTTCGTTTGCGTGTCGTCGTCCTGCGCTCCGGGCCGGTCGTTCTTGGTTCGTGATTGTTGTTCAGTGGTCGCATGCACTCGGGGGCTGTGATATTTTTGTGTCACTCGCATCCCTGGTGCAGTCGCGTGGTTACGTGATTATAATTTTCATGTTGATAAATATAAAAATTCACGTCAGGCCAAAACCGATTGAACGTTAATCGAACAAAACGGTAAAATGAACGTTATAATTTTAATGCACTTAAGCTACAATATTAATAATCGTACGGAAAACGGAAGTACATTTAATATCGGTTAATGTTCAAAAAAAAATAAAAATAATAATTATTTCGAAGGAAAAACCATATACCTACCTAGTATCCGAGCTTTTGTGAATAACACGGTACACAACGTGAAGATGGATTTTTCGTAAATACGTGTTTCGTTCGAAATCGGATTAGAAAAAAATAAAAAAAAAGAGAAAAACGAGAACGATGTCACGTAGCTATTTCTATCGACTCGCTGAGTTCGCGCACTTTTTCATCCGTTCCCGTGCCGGTGGACGGTATCGTCGCAATAAGAACGTGCAGCATCCGTCGAGCCGCCGTTGAACGAGTCGTTCCCCGTCGCTTTCTCTCCTTAACCCCGTCCGACGATGAATTTAAAACATCACCCCGAAGTGCCGAACCGAACCGTGTGATGTTTGCCGCGTCCACACTGGCGTAACAAAACGACGAACATGTGTTCGCGAATAAGATTCGTGTGTAACGAATGGGCGAACTTGTAACATCCTATCGAACGAATCGGCGATCCGTCGGTACTTCGACGTAACATCAAAGTATGTTACGACAGGTATGGACACGTCTCTGAACATTTTCACCAACACACGGAATTAAAATATTATTATTTATAATCAGTTTTTAAGTTTAGTTCACTGCCTACAGCCCTTGCAGCATGGTCATTATTTATAGCATTTAGAATATTTAATTACAATAATTAAAATATTTAATAATTAATTATTACCTATTCAACTCATATATGTCTATAATCAACGATAGATCGAACTACTCTGGAGTTATTCAGAAAAGTTATTTGAGTTATAAGGTCATTTATTGGTTAGCTATACGCGAACCTATGCGAACATGGACACACAAACATACACGCATATTTTTTAGTCGTTCGGCGAACAGTTCGTCGAACCGTTCATCGTTTTGTTACGCTAGTTTAGACACGGCTTTACGCGTTGAACAAATATCGCGCGGTGGCGGCTACATTTACGTTCAATCAGACCGAATCCTCGCGAGGCCGGACGAGATTATTTGACATATGTACCACGGTGAGTTGCAGTGGTACGAAGGGGACGTATCCTTAACAGGTCAACCACTACACGGAATCCGTTGATTGTGAGGTGTTAACTAACCGATTTTCTGAGTACAGCGAAAACTCCCCCAACGGAAACCTCTCAATAGCGGACAAAAATTGCAACGACCGGAATTTAGAGGTTTTACTGTCTGGTTGTTACGACTTTGTCCGGGTACCGCATGTTTCAACCGTAACTTAAACGTTTTTGTAAAGTGTTCTCGTAAAATTAGTCGGCGCACAGTAGTTAGGTCAGGGGGAAAGAATATCCCCATCCGTAATTCTGCATCTATGCAACAATTTTTATCTTTTCCGTTTTATTTATTTTATTTTATTTTTTCAATTGTTCGTTGAAATTTAAGAATATACCTGCACATATTTTAAATGCTGTACACGCCTACTATTTTAGAATTGTTTACAATACCATCATTAAAACGCAAGTTTTGGTCGAAACACAATTAATGAATTCATGCGAATAATTAAAAAAATACACACACACACACACACACACACACACACACACACACACACACACACACACACACAC